AAATGGTAGTCTAAAAGCAAATGCTATCAAACTCACATCTTCTAGTGCTCTATTCCAAAATAGGGCAGAAACGGAAGCGGGAGCGATGCCAAAAGTGATGCTTAATTGCCTGCTATCGGTACTGTGAGCGCTCTAGGCTGAGCAGTGTATGACTGCTGCTAATTCTAATCCAATTGGCTGATATTAGCGTAAGAATATCACTTCGTTCTAAGGCTAGAAAAATTTCTTTCTAATGACAAAAAGAGCGAAAAGCGCATAAGCATAGTTGACACTGATAGTACCAACAGCCTCTAACACGTCTTTTTGCAAAGCAACAAAGTCTGTCTCATGCAAACACCAAGATGAAACTTCTAAACATTTTGCTTTTTGCTGATTTTTTTTTAACTTTTTGCTAAAACATTAGACTTCGATAATATTTCTGAACGATTTTGGAACTGGTGTTCCCTTATTTTGCTTGTTATTATGTCGTAGAGCGTTCATTGTTGTCGATCATTGCTTCGTACTTCCAGCTAGTCTTCCTCCCTTCATCGATCGATGACCCTCATGAAGACGTCTAAAATCTATGTCCGAATATACGAGTGTTTTGGAACTCAGGAACATTATATTATAAGCACTGTTACACGTGGCTCCTAAATTTCGATCCAACTTTTAGTGGACAACATTAAAATTATCAACTTTTACAGCTTTGCGTTAAATGAACATGGAATATTGCTTGAAATGAGGAGTCGGTAGTGGTTAAAGGTAATTGAGTCGCTTTCTAGGCCATGAGCCGATTTTTCATGCTCGTCTCGTAAAACTAACAAACTTTGGTGACCTTTCCACGGAGATAAGATTTGGCTTGATGCACCATGTAAGATTTTTTTCGTCACCCACAGAAAGATGGTCCATATCACCTCACTGCTGTGATTCACCTCCAGCAGAGAACCTAAAGCCGAAGGATTTTCTTAGTTTAATCTGGAATATTAGCTAGGATTAAACCAATAAAAAAAACATTGCTTTACTGGCAATAACATAATCACTAACAGGCAAGTGGTGTCTATCTAGGAAAGCGTTACGAGGGCTTTCAAGGAAAGCAAGATTTTGCCGAACCTGCGAATAACTAAACGATTGATCTACGAAAAGTTGCGAAGAACAAAGCGTTCAGCATTCATCAATCCCTTCACACAGCTCTCAAGATGCAACGGTTTCAATGTATGTGATACGAGAATAATGGATGTATAGAACTCTAAACTAGCGCATCCTGAAATAATATTCCTTTTTTCACTAAGGATGAAATTCTGTTTTCTAAAACTCAAAACACACTTCTTCCACCTTTTTGCCTCAAGGCTCGCATGTTGGAAATGAAAGCAATCGGGCAGACTGGATATCGTCAATTAGGGCAAGAGGTGTTCTCCAATGCAGCGTTTATGTTTGCAGTTGCCGCTAGTGCACTGGAAGTTCTCAAATTTAGGTTACGTTTTAAATATTCTGAAAATTTTTATTCAAAGCCTAATTGAAGTTGAAAGAATTTTGTAGAATTTAAAGACAAACTTAGTGCGATAGAACAAAGTCTTTTATAGAACTCTGTAAAGTTTTTAATTTATCCACTACTCTATTATAATTTTCGTCTAGTGTTGGAAAGATATCACAGATCGTTATGTGTTAAACATCCCTAGATAACTTAACGAATGGGTCCGGGATGTGACTTAGTGTGCACAGTGCACGGGATTGAACCAAATACCATGCGGGAACTGCACAGCACCTCTAACCACTACGCTATACGCACCATGTATATGCATTTAAGTGCTTTCGTTATCGAAGAATTATCAAGGCGACGGATACACAGCTGAGCTAATACACGAACCTGACCACCTTTGATGATGCCTGCAAGTCAGCTAGACAGAGGGTTCGCCCCTACACATTTGTAACGATGAGCCATTTCGGTATGATTCCACAAGGATACGATTATTTATGAGAAAACTCGCTGACTAGACTAAGCTATGAGTCAACAATCTGGGCTGGTCTCTTTTCAGAACCATTCAGGCGTTCCTGTACAACTGCATGCTGCTTACATGAAAAACAAGCTTTACGGCAAAGTGTCTAGATAAAAAGCGTCTTGAAAGGCAAAAACTTAAGTATGATTCAGAGTTCTTTCAGTTATCTGCTAAGTTATTGCTAAATACAAAAGCTTATACTTCCCTCAGATATTCGCCTATGATCCTATTTGTTTCTTCTGCACCCTTTTGCTCCAGTACGACTGACTTCAGCGGCTTTCATTTTGAATTTATTGGAATTAGCGTTATTCACCCAAAACAACCGAGGTTTTCTATTTCGCATGAAAATCTGCTGAATTGGAAATTCACCTTGTTGTTACATTCACGTCTACGACATTTCGAAATGACAATGGATTACACATTTGTTTACAGTGATTGTTCTCCTGACTATGTTTACTTTTGAGGCAGCATGTAGTACCAAGATTAGAGGTGCTCCTGAATACATTCGCGTTCGCTAGTTCTATCTCAGGCAATGGACTCTTCAAGCCTTCAATCCCTCCAGGGTCAGCGAGTTGGCAAAAAAAACCATTGAACTTGTCTGGGAGGATAGCAGAACTGACTTGACACATCAGCACCCACTGTAAATCATTGTTTAGGCCAGATATGCAATAAATCACCTCTAATGATGTCGAATGTATACCGCTCCCTCGCGGAATGGTCACTACCGTTGTGCGCTTCATCTTTTACTCTTTATGTTTACGCCTGTGGGTTGTTGTAGTGATCAATCCTAACGCTACCATAATGAGCCTCTGGAACAACTCATCTACATCAGAAGGGACATGAGTCTGAGGTCCTTCCAGTTAGTAGCTACATCACATCCGCAATCTACTAAGGTACCTTGCTTGCTGAATTTCCTCCCTAAAGCGGAGCATCAGCTGGACAAAGCTGCAGCTCGAATTTCTTTCAAAGCCCGTTTCTTCTATGAGGAAATAAAACAACGTAAAACAAAACAACTCATGATTGGTAGACCTAGATACAAAACAGTACAAATTAATGTACAATATCGCAATTTTAAGAAGAATGTGTGGAGGATATTGTTCGTCTGTAAACGCTTCAGTATCCCTTTATGTAACCCTTTCACGACCATGCATAATGTTTCCAATACGTACGTTCCTATATGTTTCGGAGAGTACATCTTAATTTCAATGCGCATCTCAAGTGCGCTTCAATGACACGCCGCCGAATGAGTTAGCCAGGCGAAATTGGACGCGGTGATGAAAATGTTGAACCTTTTGCATCGTAACAGCTGTTTAGTGCACAGGGTTGACCAAAAATATTGCTTCCATATTTACACTTAGATACATTACTTTTCGACTAACTTACGCCTTTGAAGAATCGCACTCTAATGTCTTGAAACCGACAGTCATTTAACCTCGTTACTGTAACAATTAACATTTGTCTATTTTATTGAGCTTACACGAGGTTGATAGAAATGTTTATTCGGCTAACGTTTCGACGTCTTCGTCTTCATCAGAGTCGACGATTCCTGTCGATGGTCCACAGTTGTTCTTCTTCTCGATGTGGCGTCCTCGTCTCGGATCGAACCGGGTCTTCCTCAGTGGAGCATCTCGAATGAGCCGAACACACCCGAGATGCCTTTTATACAGGGCGGTTGTTGCTGATATGATTGTCCTTTGATAATAATTTTCCTTTCAACGGATAATCCACCCTGCAGTAGTCGGTATTTTGTTAACTAGCATATGGCGAATAAGAAAACTGATTCTAGCATTCTAATGTGCTTCCAGAGACTGACAGCGTAGTAAAGGTCTGAAAAAGGCAGTACATTACAATTCTTTAATGTTTCAAGCCTAAAATTCTGAACTTCTTTAATAACTGATAGAACAAACCTACTGTATCTTATTTCGTTTGCAAGTTGGCGAGAACACAAGGCATTTCCGAAGCAAACGCGCTCAAATCGCACTGGGTCCACGGAATGCGATTTGGCAATTCGTCCCGCCGCGATTGCAAACGGCCATTGAGCTCTGGCTCCGGCGGGGCTAAAGACCAACTTCATGTTGCCGTAATGATTGATCTTTTTGTGGTTTGTGTTTAGGAGATTCGTCTTAGCAGTGAAACTTCTCTAAGACTTTCAGTTTGTGTACTTGAACGGTTTCCTAGCGTAATCTTGTTGGTCCGCTGCGTCGTTCTCGCCATCGCGACTGTTTCGTGGCTTTTATTTTGCAGGAAACGCGTGTAGAAATGAAATCAGAATAGATGGCGCAGCACTGCTAGCACTATAGAGGACTATTTCATTCTGTACTTGTTTTTCTGGTAGTTCAGAGTGTCGGGTTTGTGCGTCGCTTGACGATGTGACGTTCTGCTGAAGGTTATTGCAAGCACTATTTATCTGCTAACTCATCCTTTGCTTGATCATTGTGGATGTCATCGCTTTCAGCAAAAGAACACCAAGAGGTCTGCATGAGGTGTTCATTCTTGAGTAGACGGTTTTACAGTTCTTGTTCCGTCCATACAGTTTTATTTGCTCTCCTACTTATCACGGTGAAAGTGAGTTCATTGAAGTGCAGAAATTTGCTGTGGAACACTCAGGAAAAAGTGAAGCGTACTTGTGACACACGAGGGATGCTGTGGCGGTATTTCTATTGGCGTTGAAGCGTCAAGATTTGTGACGTGTGTCTGCCACAAGCAGTAAGCCCCTCCTCGCTTAGCTTTTGAATTTGAGACATACTTATTCATTCGGTCATGCCTATCATGATTACGCTAATCAACGATTTGAAGATCTAGTGTCTATGTCGAGGTTAAGGAACAGTTCTTCCTAGGATTCGAAACCACTATTCTGTCCTGAGATTCCGTTGGGGTTTGGGTTTTCTTGTGGTGAACAACGCATAACTATGTCTGTATGTATGCAAGTTTTTCTTTATGTACTCGATATTTTTGCTCGTTGTTCACTCTTCATTTCCTACGGTGATAAGTGTCAGTTTCGAAGTTCGGAGGTTCAGATTTTCAGCAATGGCCACCATGGACGTCAATAAGAGCATCACATCGCACAAGACTGCCACTATACGTAACTATAACACCCAACCTCGACTTAGTTTGTTATTTCTATTTCTCTATTAAAGATACTGTCTTCAATATCAATAGCAATTGCTGTTTGCGAAGTTATGGAAATTGCTATTGTTTCAGTTTACAAGACTGTAACTGGTGTAAATGGACCCCTCGTCATACTAAATGATGTCAAGTTCCCGCAGTTTAGTGAAATTGTGCACATCACCTTACCGGATGGCTCAAAGAGATCTGGACAGGTTCTAGAAATTACAAGAAATAAAGCTGTTGTTCAGGTTATTATTCGTTCATCGTGCGAAGGTTACTCAAGTGTTATGGGGGAATTTTTGAATGTGTCTGTTTTTATTTCAGGTTTTCGAAGGAACTTCTGGAATTGATGCTAAGAACACAGTTTGCGAGTTCACTGGTGACATTCTTCGTTCTCCTGTGTCCGAAGATATGCTTGGTCGTATTTTCAACGGCTCTGGAAAACCAATTGATAAGGTGAGCTCTTACGAAGTATTTTTGTTATTTGCCTCATTTTGCTGGTAATACAGGGACCACCTGTTCTTGCTGAAGATTTTCTGGATATTAACGGTCAGCCTATAAACCCGTGGTCTCGTATTTACCCAGAGGAAATGATCCAAACTGGAATTTCTGCCATTGATGTTATGAACTCAATTGCTCGTGGTCAGGTGGATACAAATTTTGTTGCAGTTTTGGGTGTTTATGTCGCACTTACTTTTTTGAAAATATTTGGCTCGTTTACTTATCTGTATTATATCCATAGAAAATTCCCATATTCTCTGCTGCTGGCTTGCCACACAACGAGATTGCTGCCCAAATTGTGCGTCAAGGAGGTGCGAAATTCTCTACAATGTATATTTTTTTTCTTGGTTTTTTCTTAACGAAAGTCTCTTAACTCTTCTGTTTTTTCTTTCAGGTCTTGTGCAGCTTCCTGAGCGTAAGCACGAAGCATCCGATTCAAACTTTGCCATTGTTTTCGCTGCTATGGGAGTAAACATGGAAACTGCTCGTTTCTTCAAGCAAGATTTTGAAGAAAATGGTATGTTTGCAAAGGTTTTCTTTTATATATCAGGTTGCTAAGTATGAGGTGTTAAGGATCTATGGAAAACGTGTGTTTATTCCTCAACTTGGCAAACGATCCAACAATCGAGCGTATTATCACTCCCCGTCTTGCACTTACTGCTGCTGAATTCTTTGCTTACCAATGCGAAAAACACGTGCTTGTAGTGCTCACTGATATGTCGTCCTACGCTGAAGCTCTTCGTGAGGTAAGAACAACAATAAAATACTTTTCGAAATCCTTCACAGTGTATAAATTGCTGTCAAGAGCATGCAGCATCGCTGTGGAATTGAAGCCAAGGCACAACACCTCGGGCATGTTAAACTTGAGGTGGACTCATTCACTAAAATATTTGGATACAGTGTAGATGTACAGTAGATGAACGCTATAATAGTTTATTGTCTCACGAGAGTTCATCACCTTGACACACTCACTTATTATGGTGAAGAATTTGTATTCGTTTACATGACGTTGCATCGTTTCTATGTGGATACTCAGCTAAAGCTAGGCTTATGGTTCGCTGGGTTGTGAGAAAAAGTGCTCGTAAGGTTGGGAAATATCGTAATAATTGACAAGTGTTAGTCAAGGATTAGACAGCGACCGAACGCTTCATGCTTTATCCTTTTATATGTGAAGTACAATGCTCTTCCTGTTCCTCGAGCGAATATGGCCCATGGGAGCTCCAAAGTATGATAGATGTGATTAGAACCTTCAATATTACTAAGTCAAGTAACGCAATCACTAACGGAATTACTGGTAATGGGTCCTAATGAAGGGTACAAGTTAAGCTTTCGTAACAGAAAAAGAGAACTGTATTTTGAAGTCATGTTTCAGCCTTCTGTATACATTTCCATGAGGCTGTTTTAATAAGTGGTATAGTATTGGCTTCGCATTAGCTAACATTCTGGGCAGTTCAATGTTAGGATTTCTCGACGACGTGCATCATATTTCGTTGAATTTGATACCAAATCCTTTGCGAAGAAAGTCGTTCATGAAGTAAATGGCCTATCTAAGCGTTGCGTGCTGCTTGCCATATCCGTCATGTCATTCTTTGTAGTTTAAGCACGCTTGCAGTTTTGATGTGCAAGTGTGCATCTTGGTACACGTTTTGTTCTGTAGTTACATTTTCGATCACCTGTATCATCTGTAGTCCCGTTGAACGTCGAGTGACTCGAGTGGGCGCCAGTAAATCTTCCAATTTTCCCTTTCGCGTGCAAGAGTAGCCCAGTGGATTCTGCTCGCTCTAGGAACTCTTTGAGCATCGCACCTTTCTTCCAGACTTTCCGCGAAGAACTCTGACCATCGAGTCACCGGTCTTCCTGCAGTACGTTTGACATCCTGCGGAATCCAGTCACTAACGGCTTTTGTACACCGGTTGTCGTTCATGCGCATTACATATTCGGCACACCTTATCTTCCCAAGACCGACTTTCTGTTAACCTCGGCATTAATTGATAATTCAATATTTTTCATCAATAAGCAGACACGAGGTTGTTAATATAGAATTTATTAGAACACAATTGCTGACGTTTCGGCGGTTTCGCCCTCTTCAGAGCCTGGAAAAGTCAAATTGAAATGTGATCTACTCAGCCAAACACTTTTACAACCCTAGCAGATAAAACTTGACAATTCGATTTGCATTCGCATAAGAAACAGCTTCATTCAAACACCTACCGTTTATTTGTTGTAAGTATTTAAGTTAGTTGGTGGATAGTCGCCGCANGACCGACTTTCTGTTAACCTCGGCATTAATTGATAATTCAATGTTTTTCATCAATAAGCAGACACGAGGTTGTTAATATAGAATTTATTAGAACACAATTGCTGACGTTTCGGCGGTTTCGCCTTCTTCAGAGCCTGGAAAGGTCAAATTGAGATGTGATCTACTCAGCCAAACACTTTCACAACCCTAGCAGATAAAACTTGACAATTCGATTTGCATTCGCATAAGAAACAGCTTCATTCAAACACCTACCGTTTATTTGTTGTAAGTATTTAAGTTAGTTGGTGGATAGTCGCCGCACAGAGTAATACACGGTCGATAACTGTGTCCATGTCAGGTCATTGGATCAGCCTGAGGTATGGCGCCAGGTCACGCGTGATGACAAGACACTTCTCCTTGCGGTTCATTTTTGAATTTTTAGCATTGATCCAAAACGCTTCAAGAGTTTTACGCGCTGATGTTTTTGATTCCTGCGTAAGGATAGTGACTCCTACCTCAAAATCTTCTCCGTTGTGTTCTTGCATACTATGCGCGCCTAGTGGAGTATTTTGTTTTAGTTTAGATTTACCGACTGCTAAAAATTCAAAAATGAACCGCAAGGAGGAGTGTCTTGTCATCACGCGTGACCTGGCGCCATACCTCAGGCTGATCCAATGACCTGACATGGACACAGTTATCGACCATGTATTACTCTGTGCGGCGGCTATCCATCAACTAACTTAAATACTTACAACAAATAAACGGTAGGTGTTTAAATGAAGCTGTTTCTTATGCGAATGCAAATCGAATTGTCAAGTTTTATCTGCTAGGGTTGTGAAAGTGTTTGGCTGAGTAGATCACATCTCAATTTGACCTTTCCAGGCTCTGAAGAAGGCGAAACCGCCGAAACGTCAGCAATTGTGTTCTAATAAATTCTATATTAACACCTTATCTTCGACAGTTTGACGTATAGAAAAATATCTTTGGTTTTTGATCGTTGAAGCGGGTCACAGCTTCCTATCACTTACCTTACCTGTGTGATATGGGATACTTCTAACATCATCGTTTCCACTGCGCGTTCAATAACGCGGAGTGGTCTTTCATCCTGCTTAGATATCGACCAGGTTTCTGACGCATATGTTAAAGCAAGAAGTATTGTGGAGTCGAGAAGGTAGGCACGGAGACCGGTGTTTTTTTTTATGCTCCACACTATATCCTCAATGCGCTCGAAAGCCCTCCAAGCCCAAGTTTTCCGCTTCCTCCTGCTCCCCTTAGAATGAATTCGCTCCTCATATTGATTTCCCTACGTAGATAGACGTAGCTAGAGCGTTTGGAGACATGCGTGCCGTTGAAATTGAATGAGGGAAGAGTAACCAATCCATTCCTCATGAACATCGTTTCATGAAATTCAGTGGAAAACAAATTTTTCCACATGAAAGGAGGCAAGGATCTTTCTGCTTAACTATGTTTGGTGTTGTAGGAACGATATCATGAGCAAAGCGAAGATGGTGTAATTGCCGACCACCGATTTTCACTTCCATGTTATCCCATCCCATTGTTCCCATGACGTTCTCAAGGGTGGCAGTAAATAATTTTGGAGTCTTGGCTTCGCTTTGTCTAACCCCTCTTTTGAATTCAATGTTAATATCGCGGTAGAATGGTGATATTTTGGTTGTGAAATTTTTGTAGAGCTCACGAAGTATTTTGGTGTACTGAGTAGGGAATCCATGACGTTTCAGAGCTTCCATGACCGCTCCTACACAACTGAGTCAAAATTCTGCAACAAATAGATGAAAGCGAGGTAGAACGGTCACCTATGCTCTTGCAATAGTTCTGTGAGTCTTGTTACTGTGTGGATGTGGTCCATCGTACTAAATCTTTTTGAAACCCTGCTTGCTCATATGGCTGTCCTTTGTCTAGTTTTCTGTCAATCCTGTTTATGATGACTCGAGTGAAAAGTTTGTAGACGACAGACAATAAGCAGATTGGGCGATAGTTGCCGATATCGTGCAGGTCACCCTTCTTGAACAATAACACGGTCTTGCTGGTCTTACACTGACTAGGGACCTTAACTTCGGACAGGTAACGTGTAAAGACCGAAGCCAGTGTGTTAACGAGGACTAGGAGAAGCTTCTTCAGGTGTTCAAACCTCGTCCTCTCCGGACATGATGTTCGATTTTTCACCCACCAAAAACCGTCTAGTGAATTGGATAAATCCCATTTGATGGTGGTTTTGGGACTTCGTTTTTTACGTTCAGCGGCTTTTTCTCCTTTCTGCGAGCAATGGAGTCCTGCACGAAGGGGGCGGTGGTCTGATCCCGTGTAGAATTTTGGGACAACAGCGAAATCGGTTAAGCAAAACCTGTTAACTGTGATGTGGTCTGTTTCTTTATGGTACTCTCTACTGGGAGATTCCCACGTCCATCCTTGAGGCTGGGGTTTCTGGATTTGCGTGTTACCAAGGATGGTCTTTCGTCATGATGAACTCAGAGAGCAGCTCACTCTGTTCGTTACATCCTAATTCGTGGGTTCCATTGTGACGTTCTTCTTGGTCCAATCTTGGCGTGGAAATCTTCGATGATGACCTTGAAGAATGTGTGATCTTCTCTGTAGAACGTCTCCAAGTCCATATAGAATGCTTCGACTTCTTCTTCGTCACAGTTTGATGTCGGCGCGTAAAAGACGCACATTGTCAAAGCCGATATTGATCCACATCTTTTTAAGTAAACGTCCAATTCGGGTTGTTAGTTGTTCAAATGAATCGATGTTCATAGGCAAATTCGTGTACACGCGAACGCCGACGTCGCTGACTCATCTATAGTCGCATGTTCCGAGGAACAGTTCTTCTCGGGTGTCATAGACGGCGGTGAATGGGTGGCATCGTCTCGTCTCGGCCAGGCCGGTGATGTCGTACGTTATCCTTCTTGCCTAAGTGATCGAGTCTTCTATCGAAGACTTAGATGCCAGTGTGCGTGCATTGTAGGTACAGATCGTTGCTTTTCGCGATCCAGACAGTTTCCATTCCATTGGCCCTGAGATTTTAGCAGCTTCTCCGTACTCGTCCTACCCAACGCTGACGAATTCGGGATTCTTTCGGGGTCAAGGGAATGAGGCCTGTTTCTTTTACTGTTTTTAGCATTTTGATACCCACGTATAGCTTGCTGGGCCCTGAAAGTGGGGCTGGGTATACTTACGAGTAGCTTGCCAGTCTCTTCCAGAGTGGGCATGGAGTTTATTTATTGGAGGCGCCTTCTAACCGCATCCCATATATTTCCCTGTCACTTGACTGCGGGCTTTTGACCGAATTGACTCGCAGAATACAATCAGCATTAACTTGAACGCACCCGCATGCGCGTGCATGAATACGGCGAATGTGTGCCATATCGGCGCAGCAGAAAGAGGGAGTCCATCCCGTGAATCCATCTGCGTCTCAGGGAAACATACGGTCGCTTTTGGTCCGCGATTAACCTCTATCCGCCACATGGGGACGCGCCGTGTAGCCTCGCCACTAATCGGTTCGAGATCCCTCATATAAGGGACCTCCGTGAAATTTTTGACACTGTTGCTTAATTCTGTTTTAAAATTTAGTGTTAAGAACTCCAACTATTTTTTGCAGGTGTCCGCAGCTCGTGAAGAAGTTCCTGGTCGTCGAGGTTTTCCAGGGTACATGTACACTGACTTGGCGACAATTTACGAACGTGCTGGTCGTGTAGAGGGGCGTGATGGTTCTATTACTCAAATACCTATACTTACAATGCCTAATGATGGTTGGAACTTTTTAAAGCTTCTTTTGGTGTTGAAGTTGTGATTACTAGTTTTTGTGCAGTACTTTTTTTTAAAGTTTGTAATTTACTCTGGTAGAGTTACACCATATGTTCAGATATTACTCACCCTATTCCTGATCTTACTGGCTACATCACCGAAGGGCAGATTTACGTTGATCGTCAGCTCCACAATAGACAGGTCTTTCAATCAAGTTCACTCACATTCTGTTATTGCACTTGCAAAAAGTAAATCGAATATTGTTAACAGATAGAGAAACTGTGTGTTCTACGTGCTTCGCTTTGCTAGCAATCGTAATCATTCCATCGTTAAGATATATCCTCCGATCAACGTGTTACCATCACTTTCTCGACTGATGAAATCTGCTATTGGTGAAGGAATGACACGCGAGGATCATTCTGATGTTTCTAATCAGGTTCGGTTTCTCACCATAATTTTAATGTTGAAAGTCAATATGGTGTTCGCTATGATGGTATATAAGGTTCATTATTGAAATTTGCAGCTGTATGCTTGCTATGCTATTGGAAAAGACGTACAGGCTATGAAAGCTGTTGTAGGAGAGGAAGCACTTTCTTCAGATGATCTTCTTTATCTCGAGTTCTTGATAAAATTTGAGAAGAATTTTATTACCCAAGGTGCTTACTTTGACTTCATACTTGGATCACATTATATTAACTCAGTTCCTGTTTTCAGGAAACTACGAGAATCGCACCGTCTTTGAATCTCTCGATATTGGATGGCAATTGCTTCGTATCTTTCCTCGAGAAATGTTAAAACGAATTCCAGAGAGTACTCTTGAAAAGTATTACCCACGAGGAGGAGGGAAGACCGATTAAAGTCGGTCTTACTCTAACAGTTAATAAAAAGGCTGTCAGTTTTTATTGCGTAGAGAATATGTCACCCTGTGGGATCAAATCACTTCATTACCAGAACTGTAGTTAGTAGTTGATTAAGTTTCTAGTTTGTGTAGTAGTAATATGTTAACAATGTACTGTGGAACGCTTCGTCACTTGTATGTCCATTGCATGAATGTGATATTTAAAAACATTCCATTCTTTTCTTGAAGGGATGGTTCCAATTTTATATAAATCTTAAGAGAGGGCTTTGTGTTCTGTTGGGAAAATTTTGATATTCGTTCTGAGGAGTCGCAAAGAGATTCTCCTGCATAATAATTTCGTCTACTCGGTGCTGCAATGAAGGGCGAGTGAGTTTGTGTCCGTGCATAAATTAAAGTCCTGATCAGACAGTGGAAATGCGTGGAGAGAACCATCGATGTATGTACAACAAAGAGAGGGGGAAGAGAGGCTCTGCATACCTTCGTCAAACACGTCCGAGGTTAGAAGAAGTTCCGTATATGGCTGGAATTATGCAAATGAATTTTCCTCCATCCTTCATTAACGGATCTGTCATTTTGAGTTTGTTAGGTGCTGAGAGTTTTAAAGTTTATTTATGTGATCTTATAAACTGATCTTCTTAAGCTGACGCGAGGTTGGTACAGATCTTTGTATAGGCGGGCCAACGGATAGAATAACGTGGTTCCTAAACCTTATCCTAACCCAGCTGCTAAAATTCATTCCAACCC